TTATTTTACCTAAAGACGAGGTGTAGCTGAAGAGTACACCTGCTTTAATCGACCTCTTAATTCTGCGTGTAACCGAAGTAATCGGATTGCCATCTGTGTTGGGCCTTTAGCTTGATATCAGCCCCTGAATTTATTGTACGCTGCGGGATGACAGTGGATTGCCCGGATGAAACACCTACCTTACGATAGAAGGAAATGGTATGACTGCTGTTCTCATAAAGTTACAAAATAAAGGTTAGCGGGACGGGGAATTCATGCTTCTTGGCTTGCTTATCGTCGATTACTTGCGGTTAGAAGAACAATATGCCAACTAGCGAATGACGACGCATTTCGTGCTGGTGATATGTAGTGGCTGGCTTCCAATACAGGGGATGTTACCTGGCTCCAGACAGCGACTAATTCATTGCAGCGTAAGAGTGTTTTTATACCGTAGTCCACATTTCACATAAAACGGTCCGTTGCAGTCTGCGAGTTGACAGCTCCGGTCAACGGCAGTAGGTCTGTCCACTACGGAATTATTTTGTACGTTAGTCCCAAGACAGACATCCGTGCAACGTGCGAATCAACTGTCACACCGCATTTACTCGGTGGTGTTGATTCGTCTTTGATTTATTCGTCTGCGATTTTCTATCAATCTTGCTTTAATTGAACATCATATTATACGGCTATCAAATGAAGCCTAAAAATATGTGACCTGCCGTGATTTGCTGAAGGTTTTTCAAAATCCTATGGGTAGCAGGTCATTTCAAGAATATATGTACAGATTTGTTTAAGTATCAACCGAGTGAACAACTGGTCTGTTTTGTCGCCGGGCGTTTTATTGGTCAGTTCATAAGCAGCTATTCTTCCTCCCCTGGTAATCGGTCTGTCAATTGCGCCGATTTAAGTTCGCTGCTGCGCATCCGGCGTATCGAAAATTCCTTCCTTGGAGTACATGAATAATGACTATAGACTATATGCATCTGCCTTGCAGTCGATCCCTTACCGTCCCACGTGCATGAACATCGACCAGTCGATGGATCTAATACAACATAATCAGGGTGAAAATGTGTTAAGAGAACAACTGCCCGAAAAGGACAATTCCAAAGACTCCTTACCGGTTTGAGTGTAAGACAAACTCAGGCCTTCCCAACGACCTCATCTAAATATAAGAGTAAGTTTTAAAGAGCTGTATTGGAACATATTCAAAGTCGATGTGGCTAAGTTTGATGATGCATCTCTATAACGGCTAGAGTGATCACGAGAATGATTGAAACTTGAGCAGAGTGCTTGAGTCGACAGACGACACAAAGTTGTTCTAACTGTGTCGGCCGACTGGCCTATTTCTGTTCGTCTCGTGCATTTATCGTGCACTGGTTCGTCAGATATGTGATTCGTCTTGATGACTCCACAATTCCTTAGAATCCCGACGGTTTTACCTAAATGCTATTGCTTTTCACCTAATGATTTTGGACGGCTAGCTTGATGGAAAAACACAAACCATGTTTCGCGAAGATAGAAAAAGTCGATACGGAACAGCTGCAATTCATTTTGTTTTGGTACATTAGGCAAAAAAGTTGCGTGTGCGTTAGGAGCAAACGTTGTAGTGAACTGAAGTGAACTGAACTGAAATGAGACGAACTGAACTGAACTGAACTGAACTTGAATGAACTGAACTGAAGTGAACTGAACTGGACTGAACTGAACCGAACTCAACTCAACTCATCTCGACTCAACTCAACTAAATGAACTTAACTTACCTGAACTGAACTGAACTGAAGTGAACTAAACTGAAGTGAACTGAATTGACCACGGCGGCTTCATCCAGCCCCTGTCAATTTGGCATACGAACAATCTTACTCCATAACACTTTGGATTGCTTGAAATTGCGAATTACATACATCACTTTCCACCTTCCCCAGTTGCGGCTGGTGATAACGGACCATGACGGAAAATGGCTTACGAGATGTTGAACTAATGAACACCATGTTGCGGCATAAACGTCTAATTTCAGGAAAAGATAGAAAGTGATGATTATGTGAGCACCACATTTGCCCCGAAAGTTCATTGACTGGACTTTTAACTTAGAGTAATTTTTAGACAGTGGCATGATTTTTGTGACGCCGTGGGTGAATGCATTAGCTAGTAATGTATGCATATTTTTGCACACCCTTGATTCCGTGCACCACGAAGTCAACTTGCCTACTGAATTGTTAAGCAGTGCGTCGGGAATCGATCAAATACTGTCTTGAAACACATCAGCTCAGCCCTCTTGGATAGACTATTTACCGTCGGCTTATGGTGGGTTGTCACATCCACGACGATGTCAGGAAAATTCTCCTTGATGATGTGGCCAAGCTGAAAGAAGCGAGAAGTGTAGTTGTGAGAGGTTTGAGATAGACTATAAAAGATTTGTCGCACATCTGAACGAAAACTGTTGGATTTTTGGGTGGCTTCAAGGAACGGCCGCTAAAATGTTCGACTGATGGCGTCTACCTGGTCCCATGAATTCTCAATACTTATCATCCACCACACAAATAGTTTCTTACTTAAAACGATGTTTTATCGTCCATTCAGTTCCTTTGATGAGATCGACCGTATCAGAAGAATGAGAATACAAACCTAAAGTGCACAGTGCAGCTTTCACCAAGCGATTTCATGTTCTTCCTCTGTTGCGCCTGCATCAGTCGTCCAGAGTTTGAAAACAAAAGCAAGAGGGATTTCCATCTACAGCATTCGGCTGGAATCAAGAAAACATTTGAACAACACTTATCGTTATCAGGAGCACTGTCAATGCTGATTGGAAGAATTGACTTCATAGACTACTGACTATTGAGAAGAAACAATATAAAGTCACTCGGTTGCCGGGGAAGGCAAAGTACTGACGAAATTCATTTCTTCTGTACATCAGTTTTGAGTACGTAAAACATCACTAAACTTTTCATGAATTTCGCTGAATATCTGAAACGGTGCCTTATTTCTCATGTGTAGATTTATGCCATGACCACATCCAACCAAACTCGTTGATGAATCAACCATCCCATTGCAGAATTAGGTGGCAGCTTGAGTTAGGCAGGTGATAATTTCTGTGCTCTTTTCATGGGCAGTTATAAGCGCCATGTTCCGTCGGAGAGTGTAACATGAAATCGACGAAAAAATGCAATCGGCGAAACGCTTGTCAGCTACACTGACAGATTTCCGAAATCAGGTCTATAATCGTTGATCACGCTACAGGCATTAATCAGAAACTCGATGTGTTTGATCTGCGATTCGCTCGCGCGGCTGCGTTTAAGTAGATTATCCACTATTCATTAATGTACGCGCCCATCTATACATCTGTCTCTCCGTTTGACTGTTTATCTATCTATCTATCTATCTATCTCTCTATCTATCTATCTATCTATCTATCTATCCATCTATCTTTCTATCTCCCTACCTATCAATCTACCTATCTGTCGAGGTATCTATCCATCTACTCCATATAACAAACAGTGTCGATGTTGACTCGGATTTTGGAAGGCGTTTCTGTCACCGAAATGATTGTGTAAATTCGATTTGTAATCAATCCAACGTATTGCACTCTCCTTGGAAGGTGGAGTGCACCTTTGGTTCCTTGAACCTCTGATCGCCTAGAAGTGACTGTTCCAACACACAATTCTATCTATCTATCTATCTATCTATCTATCTATCTATCTATCTATCTATCTATCTATCTATCTATCTATCTATCTATCTATCTATCTATCTATCTATCTATCTATCTATCTATCTATCTATCTATCTATCTATCTATCTATCTATCTATCTATCTATCTATCTATCTATCTATCTATCTATCTATCTATCTATCTATCTATCTATCTATCTATCTATCTATCTATCTATCTATCTATCTATCTATCTATCTATCTATCTATCTATCTATCTATCTATCTATCTATCTATCTATCTATCTATCCATCTATCTATCTATTTATCTATCCATCTATCCCTCTAACTATCCATCTATTTATTGATTGAGATCATTGAGTCAGCTCTTAAATTGCAGCCTTCGTCCACATTATCTAGGATTGTAGGTGTCCATGACAGTGAAGTTGCAACCTATTAGACTGCCATTGGAATGTGAAGTGGTCACTTGTTTCCCTAAACTTCCAGTGTCATAACCAGTAAATGGTCCGATGGGTAATTTAAAATATCGATTATTGCGATGTACACTTACTGCTATGGCCTTATCATTCCGATGCACGAGCAGATCATAATGACCTGGGAATTTTCCAACTGGGGGAATTCCCGTAGCCTGAAATAAACAATAAACATACACCTATCAGTTGATTATCAACCATGATAACGTCTTGTTCCATAAAATGAAGAAGTAGCTCACCAAGCGACCGTAATTTTACACCTTGATAGTCACGTTAGTACTCACTAACTGATGCAACGATGCAGATTGGTAATGATTCCAGTCACCCTTCCGTATGTTATCTATGTGTCACTTGTAGAGATAGCATCCTGAATAATGGCAGCCAAAATGCGAACACAAATGACATCAGCATAAGGAACGACCTAATAGCGATTAGACTGGGCTCATTACAGAAACAACTAGAACATACAAAAGAGCTGTTTCCACCACGTGATTCTGGGCCGGTGGGGAGTGAAGCCTGTTGAATAAACAAAGATCTCCATACATCTGTTACAGACCGACGTAGTAACGACAAAAAGGCTATTGAATCCGAAACTATGTCGCTCAATAATAAACGGAAAGCATCATCGGGACTTAGTGTTATTTGCACTAACGTCACAGAGACTTGCGAAGCGTTATTACAAGCGAGACACAAGCGCAAACATGAGGAGTGGTTCACACTTTGCGCTAAAATGAAGTTAAAAACTATCGAACCAGCTTCTCCAACACGATTAAGTCGACCACCGAATTCGCCACATTACGGTAAGCCAAGACTTCTCAGAATTACCGTTAATACCGAGAAGGACCTAGAGAGCATTCTATTATCAGCATTCCAGCATAGGGGGAAGCTGAAAATGGCGAAAGGAATTTCGCTGATATACCGTGGTCAGAAAGATCGCACAAAAATACACCCCAACCTACAAACTCAACCAGCAAACATACAAATGACCGCAGTTTGATCATCTTGGGTGTTCCGGAACCCAACGAAACGTCAAATAAAGTAGCGCAAAACACGCACGACTACATGCAGTTGCAATGTCTATGCAGTACACTTGAACTTATAAACGTGGCCGTGGTTGATACTTTCCAAAATCACCAAAGTATATGGGTACCGGCCCCAGGCCCCTGAAACTCACACTACTTCGTGGTGATATGCTAAACTTAATCCAAACACAATGGCAACGTCAAAGGATCTTACTCCCTAGGGAGTTAAGGATGAGCACATCCATGCGGAACGGTATGCCCACAGAAGAGACCAAGATCAATGAAGATGAAGCCGTAGGAGTTTGTAAACCAGGTGAAACCTCCAAAAAACGACCGGCTGCCGACTCTGCCAGGGTCGGCACAATTATAACCGCCCAACCTGCACATTCTCTTGCGTACGGCCCAACACTGCTGTCAATAAACGCCATTAAATGCTTGACTAACAAGATTCCAGAATTATCTGAGTTGTGTGAAAAGCATTTGCCAAACTTGATTGCTAACGGCGAGACTTGGTTCCAGCTACACTTATCGGATAGCGAACTTGCCATTCCTGGAATGACGCTTGTTCGTCGGGATTGCATTACTCGGGGAGGTGGTGTAGCTATTTACCATAGCAGGCAACTATTGTGGAGAGAGCTAACTGATGAAGATTTGATGCTATCGGATACCTTGTGGTGCGCGATAAAAATGGTAGCAGTAAACGACCGTGTTGTTGGTGTGATCTATTGATCACCTTCAGCGGAGGAACTGCACAATTACACCATAATGGAGAAGCAGCGCCTCGTGGCTTACCGGTATAAAAGTAAGATACTAATTATGTGTGATTCCAATCTCCCAAACTTGCTACGGACTCAACAACATCCGAAAAATTCCCTCGATTGTGACTTCCAGGAGACATTACATGATCTTGAATTTCACAATCGTATATCATGCAACACGCGGTATAGAGGATCAGCTATACCTTCCATTCTGGACCTCATCATAACAAGCGAAGAGAACGTTGTGTAAAACATCGCATATGAAATCCATTAGGATCGAGTGATCATGTCGTTCTCATTTTTGATTACGTTTGTTCGGCGGTGACAGCTAATGAATAGCTTAAATTGATCAGGAAGGTGAACACGAAAGAACTGTCGAACAATCTGAGTCATTGTACAGACTGGTATTCAGAAGGTCCAGACGTCCACCAGCAATGGTCTAGCTTCATTGGGAACTAGGTCAATAAAATACGTTTGCATTACCAATTCGTTCCAAAGAATACTCAGATGCGAATCGGTTTTAAGTTACGAAGCAGAACCCAAAAATGGATTCTGGAGCGAAATGTACCCTTGGATGAATACCGACGTCACCACAACAACATGAGAAAAATATCGGTTACGAGGAGATAAGGTCATCACGTTGGTCGTGAACGACAAAAGGGATTACCAGCTTATGCTTTTAGAGAAAATGGAAAAAAATCCGAAGCTTCTCTATCGGATCAATAATAATAAGACATCTGTGGAACCGTGTGTTTAACCTCTGCATACCCCTAATGGAATGACTGCCACTGCGTCAGCTGCAGCTGAAGAGCTGGCCGAGTTCTATTCCATTGTTTACTGTCAGAAGGAATATATAAGCCGTATCTCGTTTATGTCTCCTCACCGCCCCCGTCTCTACATGAGGTAATTGTGACTCCAAAATGTGTAATCCGAACGCTACTTGAACTAAATCACAGAAAATCCCCGGTGCTGAACAGATAACGCCATTTATTCTCAAGCAGTGTGCTCATTCCATATGCACACCTCTCGCTGAGTTATTCAATTGGTCCTTAAATAACGGTGTGGTTCACAACGAATGGAAGAATGGCGTTATCACTTCCATATATAAAGGAAGTAATCGTTCGGTCGTGTCAAACTACCGGCCGGTGACTCTGTTGCCGGTGATCTCCAAAGTGCTTGAGCGACTGGTAGCAAACAAAAGCATTAAACACTTAGAGGAAAACGGATTGCATTCGGCTGCCCAGCATGGTTTCAGATAAAACAGATCCTGTCTGTCCAATGTCCTCATTACCTTAGACGACTGGATGCAAGCTGTGGACAATGGAAATCCCGTTCACGCATGCTATTTAGACATCTCCGAGGCATTTGATCGCGTGAACCATAACATATTGTTACAAAACTCGAGCATTATGGTAGTACGTTAAAGCTGCTGGCTTGGCTTGAAATCCGTTTGGTTGACCGAGGCGAGCGTGTATGTGTTGACGGCCCTCTGTCCAAGCCAATTGCAGCTACAAGTGGAGTACCCCAAGGCTCCGGTCTTTGGCCTACTTTATTTTTATGGCATGTAAACGATACACCTTGTGAGCAGTGAAATCACTTTATTCGCGGACGATATCAAGATATGGTCAAGCATACGCACCATTGAAGACAGTAACCGATTACAAAAAGATCTCGATACACTTTATCATTGGTCACTGAAAAACAGACTACCGTTTACCTCCAAAAATGTAAAATGTTCTGCGTAGGGAAGATCTTTGCATATAAATATACGTTGGGTCCACAACCACTTTCTTTGACTAGTGGAGAAAAAATGATCTGGACGTGTTGGTCAGCAGCTGTTTAAAAAACTCCTTGCAATGCACAGCCGTCTACAAGAAGACCTCACAAGTCCTGTCGCTCCTAAAACGGATTTTTAATCGTTTCACTCGACTGGCGCTGCTCCGAGTAATCAATACCTACATCCGACCAACCACGGAGTACGCTATACAAACTTGGTCACCATGGCTTCAAAAAGACATAATTCTTCTACAGCGAATATATCATCGAGCCAGGAAGCTGGTAATTGGATTGCTTAATGAACCATACGAAGACAAGTTTGCCAGATTCAACCTATTTAACCTCTACTATCGGGGCATCATGGGAGACCTAATTCTAACATATAATTTACTGAATACACCTAATCATCCGCTGGAAAATCTTTTTGTCTGACCTCGACCACGAACGGACAGGAGGCATGACATTTCGCTCGCGGTACCTCATTCGAGGGTGAACTGTCGACGGAAATTTTTGCCGTCCGTGTGTGTTTCATTTGGAACTCCCTACCTCCCAATGATGTACATTCGCCGAGTTTAACCATTTTCAAGAACAACTTAGATGCAAAGCTTATGTCCAAACCGTATCTGGATCTGTTTCACTCCATGTGATGCTCTGCAAACATTACGCATATTTTTGAGCCCGTTTGTATATATACGTCAACCCTATAGTCTTTGTAAAGTTAACTGCCTTTTTGACCATTAAACCTTGAATTAGCTTGAATTACATGTTAGTGTTGAAAAAGTCGGTTGATCAATTAACACAAACATCAGTGTCATCAGTCATTGATGTCCATCGGATCCCTGGTATTATCATCTACGTTGGCTCGTTCAGGTCTGTGGCAGTCAGTTACTAACTGGCAACTATCCGGTCAGTCACAAGTGACTGATCATCAGCGTGATTGACTTTCACTTGGACAGCACACAGCTTCACTCATCGTTCAATCACGGAAAACCACATCACGTGGCGACAAATTGACCGGCTTCTCGAGTGTCAAATGTTCTGATGGAAGTTTCAGTCTCCGTGTAAATCCAGTTCTTCCTCTGAGCTACATGTAAATGATTCATACAGATTCGACTTCCTTTTATCACACACACAAACTTATGAATCATAAGATACCCAGCGCCATTTCTTGGTTATCTGGAAAGTGACGCTGACTAGGCTTGCATATCTAGATGCCTGGACTAGCATCCTCGCTGAACTTCGTCTACGGAACCAGAAGTTTCCAACCAAGTATTTTCAACATTGACCGTAACCTATCACAGGTAACCAAATACAAATGTCATCTCGATACATATACTCATTTTCATAACAGTTTCGCTTTTAACAAGTGACACAAATGAATCTCTCCGTGGCATTTTGACTCACCATTTCACCGTATTTCATCACGTGAGTGAACGCTGTTTTTTCTCCCTTCTCGTATTGTTCCCCAGTGTACGCTCTTTTATGTCTTTGTGCGTGCGGGGGTATAATTACAATGGGGAACTATGTGAAGCAGACAGATTAGCTTACGCAATTTTAAGACGAATGCGCTGTAGACAAAACATTGAAACTGTCACTGGAGTTAAGACAACCGGGGTATACGAAGAAACACACTGCTGGTTAATTAGTACGCACTCCGCTGATCCTGGACGCCATATATGCACATTCAACTTATCTTAATGATTTGATGCTCTATGGTTCTGATCACCACCACCACCACAATCATCATAATCATCATCATCATTGAGATCAACGACAGAGGAAATACTGATGATTCACTGACGTACAATCATTTCAAATTATTTGCAGTGGAATAAGAAAGGATAATGGAACAGAAAGGAAAACCTCGGGCTAGCCTACAGTATACACCCGATATACCTACACATCCGAGACCCGGTCAGACAATCTGGATAGAAACTGACAGCATGAATGCCACTGACATATTGATTCATTTCGATAGATGTATTGAGGCGAAGGCGCTCAGGAGATCCCCGACCATCATCGTCATCATCATCATCATCGTTGTTATCATCAACATCAACGTCATCACTGCCAACATCCGTATTCAACGCTGACGGTTCCCTGCGTGCATTCAAAGTCCATTTAGTGCCCTATTAAATAGAAAAGTATCAAAATGAATGGGGAACGTTTTTGGTGCTAGCCTACCACAATTATTCCAATGAGCTTACAGCTCCAGAAGATTACTTAAGTGATCTGAACCGAAAATAATAACAAGATCTCCAATAACATCGATGCAAGGAGAGTAACGGTGGGAATCAGGCGGTCTCCATCGTAGAGCGCGAATTAAAAGTGATTGCAATCAGAATTTAGCTAGTCTATATCAAATTCCTTTGCAAGATCATAGGCAAACCTGAATGGGAGGATAGTGAGAAATTTCGGACATACAACCAACGGTTTGATTAGTTTAGGGCCACCGTACGCCAATGATGGCTGAATTGGCGTAATTTCTCTTCACGTTTGAAAACAAAATATTATTTTTTTGGAGAATCCAATGGACTACCACTAGATGCTGAATACCACTGGACTACCCATCCAAAACTGACAGGCTTACCTTCAACAGTTCTGTGTAACC